CGCAGGGTAGCCACAGCTGCCCGAGCACACAAAGGAGCCTTGTTCTTGCCCGTCACGTGGCCCTGGCCCCCTCCCGACCTCTCTCGGGACATGATTAGGTGTGGGAACCATTTCCCTTGGGGCTGCATTTGACATTTGCCATTCATCCCGGAGGAGGAGGCGTCTGGGCCGAGGGCCCCCGGCCCCCCAGCCCCACAGCCCCGGCTCATGGCACAGGGGCCCTGACACCCTGCTGACCTGAGTGCGGGCCACAGCCCGGCCGCCTTCATCACCCTGCGGGTCAGGGCGCGCACACCTGGTCTGGGCAGGATCAGAGAGCAGAGGTGGGACCAGGTAACACGCACACGAGTACATGCAGACACGTCCACGGGCACATGCCAGGAACACATGCGTGTACACACAGATACGTGGCACCACACATGCACACATGCTCCCATGCACCAAGGACACATGTGCTCATAAGCACACATGCACACACATACGTGTAGAGACACAGCGGCACACGCACACACGTGTCCTCAAGCACATACTAAGAACATGCACGTACACCCATAGACACACACGTGCTCAAGCATGACCAAGAGCACATGCACACACCGGCACATGCATGCACACGTGTGCTCAAATACACACCAAGAACACGCATGTACACTCATAGACACACAACAGCACACACACGTGCTCAAATACGACCAAGAGCACACGCGGACACACACACAGTAACACAGTAACACCCATGCACAGATGTGCAGGAACACAAGGCGGGTACACACAGGGATGGAGTGATCTTCATGGAATGTGAGGGGTGTGTAATCCCTAAGGACATTTGCACACGCACACACACACGGCCCACCGGCCCCGGTGGAGCGGCGATCCCAGTGAAATCAGGAGGCCTGATGTCGCCCCACCCGTCTGCACCCTGACCCCCACCCCCACCCCTATCCGAGGGCCCCGAGGGGTGGAGTCGGTCCCGGCTCCCAGGGGTGGGATCCCAGATGCGATCAGGCCAGCAGGAAGGAATGTGCTCCAGCTGCCAGGGCGGGCAGGGGACGGGGCCCCGGGACCTGCCAATCTCCCCTCGGCGCGGATCCCGACGCCGGCCTGGATAACCACGGGCCCCGAGCGCGTCCTTGGAACCCTGCTCCGAAACCACAATTACGCAGCCAGCTGAGGGCCAGGCCCGGCGTGTTTACAGTGCGCCCGGGGAACGGAAGGACGCTCTGGTAAACATTGCTGGAGATTGCAACACTGAGCTGTCCAGCATCCGACGCGCGTCGGGAGGGGGGGCGTGACATGCCGTGCAAGGGCCCCGGGGCCAGCGCGGGCGGCTCCGCAGGGGCCTGGCTCTCAGGACCTGGTGGCCCTGCTGTCGCCTGCAGACAGCACTTGGCCGTGAGGGTGGTGGGCAGGGCCTGGCCAGGGATCTGGCTGTGCTTCCGTCCCTGTAACCTTGCGTGGTGACCCCCCACACCAGCATACCCCCCTCCAGCCCAGCCCCTCCCCTCCCGATCACCCCCTTCCCTCTGCTGCGAGGGCCTCGACCTGCCAGCAGCAGGGCGTGTAAGGGACGCCCTTGTCCTCTGCCTACCGAGGCCTGAAAAAGGACCTTTGAAGGATTCGGTATCTTTGCTGGTTGGATGAGTGAGGCTCTCGAGCCGAGGGGGTTGTCCTGGGGGCCCCGGGGCCCCGGGGCCCTCACCCCTCACCAGAGCGAAGACTGGAGGCCAGACACGTCCAGGAGGCCGGGAGGGGCAGGGGCGGCCTCTGGGCCCAGGGAGGCGTCCAAGTGCCGAGGCCGCATGTCTGCCGAGGCCGCATGTCTGCTCCTTCCTGCGGCAGCCTGACGGCCTCGCCTCCGACCCCGACGGCCCCGCGTCGGTCCGACTCCTACAAACCAAGGCTCACCAGACGGGGGCAAGTCACCAGACTCTTCAGCAAGGAAATTACTTGCTGGAACCAGGCCCGACCCCCGAGGTCCCCCCATACCTGGTTTTCTCTCCGCCCCGACCAGAACAGTAAAACAAAGTGACAACGCGTGAGCGGCCTGGCAGCTGCATCTGCTGGTTTAAGCAGGAGGAGGTCCTGGGATCGGGGGCCCAGTCCTGCCACCAAGGCGGCCCCTGACTTCTGTGGCCGGGGCTCCAGGCCCCAGGGTCAGGCCTGGGACCCCACCCTGCTGTCAGCTCGGGGTCTGTGTCGGAGTCCCTGCCCCGCCAGCGCCGGGTCCCGTTCCCGCTTGGCCTCCAAGCAGAGAGAAAACGGGTCCCCAGAGGGTCAGTGACTCGGCCGAGGCACCTCCCGTCCACAGGGCTGCCTGCCTCTGGGTGCGTGGGGCTCCCGGACTCCAGAAAGGCCGAGGCCCACGGTGATGCCAGCCCTGGGCAGGAACAGCAGGGGCTGTCCCCAGCGGGCTGCAGGGCAATGGAGCAGGTGCAGGAACACGCATGCACACACATGTGCACACACATGCACACGTGCGGGCCTGCAAACTCCACACATGCATAGGCACATGCACGGATGCACACACACGTGCCCATGCACGTAGACGCCTGCACACACCTGCTCGTGCAAACGCATGTGGGCAGGTTCACAGGAGGTGGAGGTGAGTGGGAAGGTCACTCCAGGCTGACCGTGTGCTCGGTCGCGTCAGGATGTCCAGGGTAGCTGAAGCTGGCCGGGCCGCTGGCTTCCTGGGTGCTGCCTGCTAGCGGAGCCGGGTGAGTGCTCCCGAGGGGAAGCGAGTCCTGCACGGGGTGCGCGTGCCCGTGCACCGGGGCTCCCTCCCCAGCGATCCACGGCTGGGCGCCCCAGCCCTTCCCAGAGCCGGCAGGAATCCAGAAGACTAAACAGTTGTGTCCACTTCTCAATTCCCGAAAAATCCTTTCTGCCAAAATAAATAGATGTCTACGGGCGGCTTGGCCGGCCATGGAATCGCTGGCTTGTGGCGGAGACAGAGGTGAAGCTACCGAGTGGAGGGTGGGTGGGACGGGCCCCCGGCACCCGCTCCTGTGACCTGAGCTGCGGCCCCTGGAGCCGCACGGGGCCACCCTGGGGCTGCACAGGCCACCAGTGCCTCGGAGTCACCAGAGACCGGGGGCCTTGCACACCAGCCCGTCCTAGCACCGGCCCCCACTGCCGCCCGGCCGTGCTCCCCTTGGGTTCGTGGTCCTGGCCTCAGGGTCCAGACCTTATCAGAGGCCCTGCTGCCCGCTCCGCCTGCACCCAGGTGGAGACGGAGCAGGACATGGGCCGCCCCTCACGGCCCTGCCAGTCCTGAGCAGTCTGCGCCTCGGGGTGGGGGGTTCGCTCAGCACACGGGCCCGGGCCCCTCCGAAGTCGGTTCTGCAGAACCCCACTGCCTTCCCGTCACAAGGCGAGCGAGAACACATCCCAGGAGTCCAAACCTCGAAGAACCGACTCTCCCTACACTGATGCATACGTGAAAGGCGATCTGAGCCAAATTCCCAAGATTTCTGATGGAACCTGATGATTAGAAATAGTAAGTAAGAGGAAACAAAGCAGTTCCCCAAATATCACTAAGAAAGCCGATGTGATGCTGAGGGAGAGCGAAGTCGGAGGACGACACTCCGCGGCCCCAGCACTCGCTGTAGGGCGGCCGCGATCAGGACCGTGTGGCCCTGGGCGGGGGGGGGGGGACAGGCCAGCAGGTGGACGGAACAGGAGGGAGAGCCCAGGAACAGAGCCACACGAACGCCCCCGACGGATCCCTGACAAAGGAGCGAGGCCACCCACGGGGCGAAGGCCGTGCCCTCCGCAGGCGGTGCTGGACAACTGGACGTCCGCACGCAGAGGGAACGTGGACACGGACCTTAGGCTCCTCTCGACTGGCTCACAAGGGGTCACGGACGCGGTGTAGGATGCGAAACTATGACACTTCTAGAAGACGACACAGGAGAAATCCCCGGTGACCCTGGACGGGAGGATGACCCTGTAGACCCGGCACCACGGGTCCAATCCAGGAGACAAACAACTGACCGGCTGGACCTTGTCCTGTGAAAGTCAGGAGGGTGAGAGGACAAGCACCGACCGGCAGCAAATATTTGCAAAAGACACAGCTGATGGAGGACGGCGTCTACGATACATAAAGATCTCTGAACACTCAACAACACGACCTAACAACGTGTTTAAGAGCGGGCGGGAGACCTGCACAGAGACACTCAGGTGGCAGATCAGGAAGGCTGCTCCGCGTCCCAGGCCGTCAGGGAGACGGCGACGAAGACGTGGGTGACCCGGCGACGGCAGCCAGGGTGGGAGGGCTGTGCACCGCGCGACGGTCTGGGGCAGGCACAGCCGGGGGGACGGGGCAGGCTGGGGGACCGGGGGTGGGGAGGAGGACTCCCAGGGCCAGCACCCGTGAGGGGCCGCAGTGCTGGGCGCGTCGTCCCCCGGCCCCCGCCAACCTCACGTCCCCCGCGGGCCCCGGGTGATGACGATGTGTGGGTGCGGGTTCACCCGGGATCACACGCACAGCGTGGGTGCGGGATGTGGTGGAGGGGCCCTGGGGGGCTGGACGGGCGCAGGGTGGGGAGGGGGGCCTGCGGGGTAAGCGGGAAACCTCTGTACTTTCAGCTCGGTTTTGCCACGAACCTAAACTTCCCTAAACAAGTCTATTAAAAAAATAATTAAAGGGGGCGCCCGGGGGCTCCGTCGGGGGAGCGTCCGACTCTCAGTTCGGCTCAGGTCATGATCTCAGGGTCGCGGGACGGAGCCTCCAGTCGGGCTTCCTGCTCAGCGCAGAGTCTGCTTAGGATTCGCCGTCCGCCTCCGTCTGTCTGTCGTCCCCAAATACGACAGGTCAAAACAAAGGAGCTAAGGAGGAAGAGCTGCCTGAAGAGGCATGAGGACGCATAAGCAGAGTGAATAAAAGGGTTTTCCGGTCGCAGTGGGTTGCGGGTGGGGAAATGCATCAGTGGGGGGGGGGATGGAGCTGTGCACACGTCGGGGCACCCGGGAGGCGGGGGCGCGGCGCAGGAGCTGGGGGGTGCAGCCACCCGGCCTTCGCCCGCACCTGCACCCAGAGGAGCACCCGGGTGGGACCCGCATGAGGGGAGGCGGTTTGGACCGCGGTTTGGACCATGATCAGGAACGACCGGGGCACCGGGGAGCCGTGGGGTGAATGGGAAGTGGCAAAAGTTGATTTTTATGGCAACACAGCCTGTGCTGCGGAGCCTGCAGCCTGGGGAACTTCCAGGGAAGTGGAAGCTGTGATCCCGCAAGGGTGCGGCGGGGGCCGTGCCCCGTGGGGTCCCCTGCCCCCGCTCTGCCGCCCGTGGTGGGGGTCTCCCTGCCTGCACCGGCATCCGGCCTCTGCAACCTCTCTGCCTGCCCCGGTCCTCGTGATTTTGTTTTATTTTTATGTTTAAAGATTTTTATTTATTTATTTGAGAGAGAGAAAGAGCGCCCAGGTAGGACGGACAGAGGGAGGAGGAGAATGTCCAGCGGACTCCAGGCTGCGCGCAGGGCCCGGTGTGAGGCTCGGTCCCAGGACCCCGAGATTGAGACCTGAGCAAACCCGAGGGTCGGCGCTTGACCGACTGAGCCGCCCGGGCGCCCCGTCCTTCTGATTTACCCTAAAACCATTCCCAGCCCTGGGGTGCGAGTGGAGCCGGCCACGTGGCCTGGGGCGGGGTCGCGGCGGCCTTAGAGCCTCTCTGAGCGGCCTCCGCACCCCTGGGCGCAGCTGGAACCGGGCGCCTGCCCCACCCAGGCTGGAGCGGGTGGGGCCGCTCACGTGCCTTGACGCGCCCTCCGGTCCCGACGCGCCTCCGAGCCTGCAGCCTCCGGAAAATGCTGGCACACGCGCGAGGTTGGCACCGGAGCGCCCCTGGACGTCCAGCCCAGAGCGGGAGCCGCGGGGCTCCTGTTCAAGTGCTCGGCCCGACGGCAGGTCTGGGGGCTGGAGGCTGCGATCCCGCCCGGCGCCCACGGGGGCCACGGCCTGCCTGCGGGGCCACCTTCTGCTGTTCAGTGCCGTGAGTCACCTGCCACCAGAGCCCTGTTCCTCCAGCTACGGGGCAGGCGTCACGCAGGTGGGAATGGAAACGCCTCTTGCTTGGCTCGGTGGGAGGACACGGCCTGGGACCCTGAGAACCTGATTTTGAGGAGGAGGGAGTGGGAAACCACCATGGACAGGGCGAGGGACGCGCTCTCCCTGCTGCCAGGGGCAGGGATTCTGTGGGCCCAGGGGGACCCCGTTAGGCCTGGATGCCACTTGAGTGTTGGGACCCGCGGTGGCTGGCTGTGTCCCCGGCCGGACCGTCTACCCCGGGCCTCCCAGGTCCCCCAGCTGCAGAGGCCAGGAGAAGACAGGGAGCCCAGGCGCCCCCGGAGGCGCCCACGGGAGGGGCCGGTCCCAGGAGCCTCAGGGGCAGGGGGTCCCCACGGCCCTCCAGGGGATGCCGCCCCACTGTGTGCTGTCACTGGGCTGGTTTTGCAGGCTTAGCCACCCCCGGCACCAGACTGGGAATACGCTGGGCTCGGTAATGCCCCGTGTTGGCCCCCTGGGGGGCCCCGTGCCTCTTCCCTCATTAAAAGCTCCGAGGAGGTCCGAGGAGGTCCTTGGCGTAAAGTCGAGCATTCCTCACGTTTGAGATGGCAGCAGCTGCCTCCCCCGACCCCGGGGACGTCCCCATACCCCAGGCTCCTTCCAAGGCCATGGTGGTCCTCCTCATCACCCACAGTGGCCGCTGGACCCACCTGGGGGCCTGTCCCGGCTGCCCAGGACTCTCGGGGACCCAGCCCTCGGGCGCCCGGGGCGTTGGGGCCTCCTCAGGTCCTCCACCGGCATCTGCCTTCCCGCACATGGTCTTGCATCTTGCCCAGATCCCCACCCACCGTGACATCCTGGAGCTTCCCCAGCCTCGACAGCTCTGCCTGCATGCAGTGGCCCCAGGCGCCCAGGCCGGGTGACCCCCCTCCAGCCTGAGGCACGTCCTGGGGGGTCACAGCTGCGCTCCAGGTGCTCGGGGTGTCAGGGCGGCTTCACCATGGTGGGGCAGCCCTGCACCTCCTCCCCGAGCTCCACCCTGGGTCCCACCAGCCTTCCCAGCACACAGCCAGCCTATGGCCTATGGAAGGGTAGGGGCTAAGCGTGGAGGGGGACTGGGCAGGGAGGAGGACCAGGGGTGGAGGAGGACCAAGGGAGGAGGAGGACCTGAGGTGGAGGAGGACCAGAGGTGGAGGAGGACCTGGGTGGAGGAGGACCTGGGTGGAGGATGACCAGGTGGGGAAGAGGACTAGGGGTGGAGAAACCAGAGGTGGAGGAGGACCAGTGAGGAGGAGGACCAGGTGGGGAGGAGGACCAGAGGTGAGGAGGACCAGGTGGAAGGAGGACCAGGTGGGGAGGAGGACTAGGGGTGGAGGAGGACCAGGGGTGGAGGAGGACCAGGTGGGGAGGAGGACTAGGGGTGGAGGAGGACCAGAGGTGAGGAGGACCAGGTGGAAGGAGGACCAGGTGGGGAGGAGGACTAGGGGTGGAGGAGGACCAGGGGTGGAGGAGGACCAAGTGGGGAGGAGGACCAGGGGTGGAGGAGGACCAGGTGGGGAGGAGGACTAGGGGTGGAGGAGGACCAGGGGTGGAGGAGAACCAGGGGTGGAGGAGGACCTGAGGTGCAGGAGGACCAGGGGTGGAGGAGGAGGACCCGGTGGGGAGGAGGACCTGAGGTGCAGGAGGACCAGGTGGGGAGGAGGACTAGGGGTGGAGGAGGACCAGGGGTGGAGGAGGACCAGGTGGGGAGGAGGACCCGGTGGGGAGGAGGACCTGAGGTGCAGGAGGACCAGGTGGGGAGGAGGACTAGGGGTGGAGGAGGACCTGGGGTGGAGGACGACCAGAGCTGGAGGAGGACCAGGTGAGGGGGAGGACCAGGTGGGGAGGAGGACCAGGTAGGGAGGAGGATCTGGGGTGGAGGACGACCAGAGCTGGAGGAGGGCCAGTTAGGGAGGAGGACCAAGTGGGGAGGCAGGCGTAGGGGTGCGCAGAGCCCACCCCTGCCCGGGGGTCACTACTGGGGCACCCCTGGGACCCTCTACACCACACACCATCTCCGGGCAGGTGTCCTGCTCTCAGCCACCTGCTGCCCAGCAGTGTGAGGAGTGGGGCTGTCCCTCGGGGTCAACCCTCCCTCGGGGAGCGTGCCGGGAGGGAACAGCACGGGGTCTGCTGGGGGCCCCACAGGACGGGCAGGGGGAGGCTCCGGGAGGCAGGGGAGGCTCCCTTCCGGGCTTGGGCCCCGGTCAGCCTGGGGGGCTTCAAAGGGGGGCAGATGGGGCCCGGGCGAAGAGACTGGTTTTCAGGCCCCTTTCCACCCTCACCCCTGCTCCCATCTCAGGTCCTCAGCCCTGCCCCCTCAGGGCTCACCCCGTCCCCTCTCCCCCATCCCCTACCCTGTCAGGCCTCACCCCTGCCACCCCTCAGCCCCTCTCCTGCGTCTCTCTGGCCCAGCACGGGCTCTGGGGCCCTTAGAGGGAGCCTGTGCACCCCTGGCAGTTCTCCGGGCCATCTGGACAGGAGGGGGCCAGCCGTCCTGCAGGGCCTGGGCACTGGGCGGCCTTCCCCGGGGTCGGGGCTTTAGATGACTCACCGGTGAGTCAGGCGCAGGTCAGAGGGCACCAGACGCTGGCCTTCCCCAGGAGGAAGGGTGTTGCTACTTGGTGCCTCGGCAGAGCAGCACAGGCATTCCAGGGAGGGGGAGAGGGATTTCCTTCCTTCCTTCCTTCCTTTCTCTTTCTTTCTTTCCTTCTTTCCTCTGTATTTCTTCTTAAAAAGAGTTTATTTATTTGACACAGAAAGAGAGAAAAGAGAGAGCGTGCAGGGGGGAGGTGTAGAGGGAGAAGCACACTCCCCGCTGAGCAGGGAGCCCGATGCAGGACTCGATCCCAGGACCCCGAGATCACGACCTGAGCCAGAGGCAGACGCTTCACCGACGGAGCCCCCCGGGCGCCCCCAGAGTGTTTTCTTTCTGAATGTCAATATAACTGGCTTATCACCCCTCGTGTTTCATTTTACACATTTATTTTTTTAAAATTTTAATTAATTAATTATTTATTTATTTATCATAAAGAGAGAGAGAGAGAGAGAGAGAGAGAGAGGCAGAGACACAGGCAGAGGGAGAAGCGGGCTCCATGCACCGGGAGCCCGATGTGGGATTCGATCCCGGGTCTCCAGGATCGCGCCCTGGGCCAAAGGCAGGCGCCAACCCCCTGTGCCACCCAGGAATCCCCTCATTTTACACATTTAAAAGAATAAGCGGGCTGTGCCAGGCGGCCAGAGAGGGCGCAGAAGCCTGGGCTGGCAGGGGGCGGGCAGGGCGGGGGGGGTCCCAGGGCCTCGACGCCCCCTCCCCGCCCCCCGCAGCCACCTGGGAGCCCGGCGGCTGGGAGGAAGGAAGCCAGGCGGAGTGTGGGCCTGACCCCTCCGGCTGGCCGCCCCGGTGCTCTCCTCGGGGCCCTGGCGCCGGCCCGTCGGAGGCCGAGCCGGGAGCTATTCTGGGAGCCCGTGCGGAGGCCCCGGGAGCTCCTTATAAGGCCCCTCAGCAGCGAGTTGCCGTTCCCAGCCCGCGGGCCGCCCACCACCCCGCCTGCAGCCCGACCCAAGGGTGCAGAGGCCCCTCTGGCCCGAGCCCACGTTCCCTGGGGCCCGACTTTCTCCTGTCCCCAATGACGCTCCCCCAAGATTTCAATGAATCCGACCGACACCTCGGCCTTGGGGCCCTTGGGAGAGAAGCGGGGAGCAGGGCCGGCCGCCCACATCCTTATATGAAGAAGCTCCCGGTGGCGGCTGAGTCACTGGTGTGTGGGGACTCAGCCATGGGAGCCAGTGATTCTGGTTTATTTTTAGACACTCTTACCGGAGCACCTGGGTTAGACCCAAAAATACGTGTATTTTAATAGTTCAAAAATATCACTTTGCAGCAAGTCACGCTGAGGGAGACAATGCCCAGCAAGATGTCTCCTGAGGCCCGCGGGCCTGTGCTTCCTCCCTGCTCAGCCGCTCAGCGACCACGTGGACCCGGCTCTGTCCCGTGTGTCCCCAGGAGGACACACACCTGCCCTGAGCCACCCTGTGTTTTCTGGTCGCCTTCAGCAGGAATTGGGCGAACGAGTGGATGCTAGAAGCGTGAGACCAGGACCAGATTTTAAGTGACCTCCCCCCCCCCCCAGGGCTTGTGCCGATGGCATTCGGGTCGAGTGAGCAAACGCAGCGGCTGGCGAGCAGGGAGGCCGGGTTGCCTTGGAGCCCCGTGCCCGGCTGGCCCGTGTCGCAGTTGGTGGACCCCAGAGCGGCCACCCGCTGCCTCCCTGCCCGCTGCGGGTGGCAGGCCCGGGAGGCGTGGGGAGACAGGCCCGAAGGCCTTGTCTCCCTGACCTGGGCGGAGCCCCTGGGTGGCCCTGGGGTCCCCGGCCCAGCACCCCCGGCACCACCAGGAGCTTGTTAGGACGCAGCCTGAGTGGCGGCTGGGCGGGGAGCAGCCGCGGCAACGGCCTTGCCCCCCCAGGACAGTGGAGGCCCCAGCACAAGGTCCCCAGAGAGCCGGGGGGATGCCGCGGACTCGCCCTCAGTGAGCCCGGGAGCCCCGCTCTCACCAGCCCCAGGCTCTGCTCGGCCGGCCCCGCGAGGCCCATCCAGACCTCGTCCTACAGCGCCCGGCCCCTGTGTGCGGTGCCTGGAGCCGTGGGAAGAAATCCCAGGCCGGTCGGGATCCGGGGGTGCCACGCGGTGCCCCTCACACCCTCGCGGCGTCAGTGCCTCGTGCGATTCGGCAGAGATCACACCGGGGAGAAGCGCCCCTGGCTCCGCCGGGGATGTGTCCGCGAACGTGAGCCTCACCTGGGCCAGGTGCCGCTGCCGGGGACGGGGTGCCGACGGCTCGGGCCGCGTCGGGGTTCCGGGCGCCCACCAGGCCTCTCCACGATGCAAATTGCGCTGAAGCTTCCTGCTCGGACTGGAGAGTCAGCGTCCCTGTGCAGGCTCCACGTTGGACGTCAGGTCCCACCCGGTCCCCCCGCCGCAGCCCCGACGGGAGTGAAGCTGTGGGAGCCGCTGCGTGTGCTCTCATGGTGTCCAGGGCCCTCTGCTTCGTCATGCTGTTCTTCTCAGATGCCCTGTAAAAACGCGTTATTTTGGGACGTCTGGGTGGCTCAGCGGTTTAGCGCCGCCTTCGGCCCAGGGCATCACCCTGGGGTCCTGGGATCGAGTCCCACGTCGGGCTCCCTGCATGGAGCCTGCTTCTCCCTCTGCCTGTGTCTCTGCCTCTCTCTGTGTCTCTCATGAATAAATAAATAAAATCTTAAAAAAAAAACCTTTTTAATTTAAATTCAATTAACACTGCATGTTATTTAATTCGATTAATTAACATAAAGCGTATTTCAGAGGTAGAGGTCGGGGATTCATGAGTCGTGCTCATGGCATCAGGTGCCTCCTTTGCGCCCATCCCCCGGTTCCCCGTCCCCCACCCCCTGCCTCTCCAGCGACCCTCAGTCTCAGTCTGTTTCCTGTGATTAAGAGTCTCTTAGAGTTTGTCCCTCTCTGATTTCATCTTGTTTTATTCTTCCCTCCCTTCCCCTCGGTTTTGATCCTCAGTTTTGTTTCTTAAATTCCACACACGAGTGAAACCATATGATGACACAGATGGCCACCAGACACTTGAGAAAATGCTCCACCACATCACTTAAACACACACCAGCACCACGGGGGACCCCCCCCCCCCCGCACGCCCGTCAGGACGGCCACCGTCGGGAGGAGACAGGTGCAGACGGGGGGATGGGGGTGGCCTTGAGGAGCCGGACACGGAGCTGCCCTCCGACCCGGCAATTGCACTGCTGGGTACCGACCCCGCAGCCCAGAGGCGGTGAGCTGCAGGGGCACCTGCACCCCCGCGTTCCCCGCGGCCGTGTCCACGGGGGCCGTGCCGCGGGAGGAGCCTCGATGTCCACGGACAGATGCTGGAGGGAGGAGACGTGGTCCCTGCGCACCCCGGGTGTCACTCGCCATCAGAGGGGGGAGATCTCGCCGTGTGAGATCCCTTTAACCACTGCCTTGTAACGTGGGCAGCGCGGCCACAGCCCTGCCCCCGGGAGCTCCTCAGCCTGCAGCTGCACGTGGTGGGGTCCCTCCCCGTAGGTCCCTGTATGTCCTGGAGCCGGGCATACAGTAGGTGCTCAGCAAGGGCTTCAGTGGGAGTGAAATAGAGGCCGCTGTTGGTGAGAAGCTGGCCTTGCACGCGTTCCGTCTTTCCGGGGCGACCACTGAAGGGGGACATGGCGTGGGAAGCCCCGAGCCTCAGGCCCACCCTGTCCCCCGCCCGCAGGGAGGTGGTCTGAGTTACACGATCTCCTCCTCAGCCACTGAAGGGGTCCCCGCAGGCCCAGGGCAGAGACCCAGGGTCCCAGGCTGCCCACGCTTGTCCCCGGCAGGCTGGTGTCAGTCGGGCGCCCTGGGGTGCCCAGTGCCTTCTCACCTGCTTTTGTAGGAACATTTCACACATTCTTCCCCATGGCTGTAGGGTTGGGGGGTGGTGCTGGGCCTGTGTTGGCCCCACCTGCTCCTACCCCGTCTGCAGGGTGATGTGGCCCTCGGGTCTGCACCGCCTGCCCCTGGGCGGCCCTCACCAGGCTCCTCAGAAACCAGCCCCGTCCCACCCTCCTCCCTCTCAGACCACTCTCGTTCATGGGTTCCACCGCTGCCACCGAGCACTGTCCCAGGGGCCAGGGATGGCGTGACCGGGGGCCCGCTGGCGGGGTTCAGTTGGAGGCAGCAGGGGGGCACCACCATCCGGGTCCAAGCAGGGAGAGGGCAGCACCCGGCAGCAGACACAGGGCCCAGGGACCGTCCCTGCAGACGCCGGGCGTCGGCCTGGCACTGGACAGCAAAGGCCGGATCCCAGGGCTGTGCTCCCTGGTGTTGGGGCTCGGGAGTCACAGGACCTGGAAGCAGGATCTGGGGGCTTTGCAGGCTTCCTCCGAGTGGAGGGGAACCTTCTGAGGGTCTGAGCATCTGCTCGCCAGTGGAGGAGGAGCCAGGGAGGAACTGGCCAGGTGGACACGGCTCAGGAGAAAGGGGCTGGGGCATGGGCCGGGGTGAGGGGGTGGGAGGGGCAGGGCGGTCAGATTCAGAAGGACTAGGGAGATCCGGATCACGGTTCTCTGATGGACGGCTGGGGTATGAGTGGAGGGAGGAGGGAGGATGGGGAGAGGGAGGAGGGAGGATGAGGAGAGGGAGGACGGAGGATGGGGAGGGGGAGGGATGATGGAGAGAAGGAGGAGGGAGGAGGATGATGGAGAGAGGGAGAAGGGAGGATGAGGAGAAGGTGGAGGGATGATAGAGAGAGGGAGGAGGGAGGATGGGGAGAGAGGAGGGAGGATGGGGAGAGGGGGAAGGAGGATGGGGAGAGAGAGGAGGGATTAGGGAGGGGGGAGGATGGTGGGGAGGAAGGAGGAAGAATGGGGAGAAGGAGGAGGGATGACGGGAGAGGGGGAGGGAGGATGGGGAGGGGGTACAGTGGTCCCAGCAGGCTGTGGGTCCCACAGGCTGTAGGTGACCTGTGCCCCCCACCCGTGGTCCCTCCCGGTGCCCCCAGGGCGTGGCCTGCTGCCTCCCGTGGTCCTCCCGGCCCCGCCGTCCGAGTCCCCCAGCCCCGTGCCCAGCAGGCGGTGCCCTGAGCTGACACCTGCCCCCAGCGGATGAAGCCCTCGGCCTGGCCCGGGGTCTCCGAGAAGCCCCCCAGAGGCCGCGGTGTTTGCCCTGAGGCAGAGCTCAGGTTAGAGACGCCCCAGCCCCCCAGATGCGCGGCCCGGCGTCCTCGTGGCTATTTCTGAATCACGGGCCTGCGTCACCCCGACCTGCCCCGGGGCCCTGCGCTGGCCGTGACCGCGGGGGAGCGGAGCTGGTGCTGAAAGCCGCTCTGTCCTCCGCGGGCCTCGGCCCCAGGACGGCACACAGGCGCTTTTGTTCTCCAGCCCGGGCCGAGGACCCCTCCTCCGGCTGGCGGCCCGGGCGTCGGGGGGACGCGGCGCAGGCTGAGGGCCCCCCCCAAGTCGTTGCCCGCGAGCCGCCCAGTTCGCCCGCCGGGGCCAGCACCCCGCCACGGGGCCGTGCCCGTCTGACCCCTGCCGCCCAGCGGGTGGGGGGCCGGGACCTGTCCCGCCAGAGCCGCGCAGGACGGCTGGAGGCGCGGGCGTGGCCGTGGGCCCTGCGTGGACGGCCGTGCGGTCCCTCCTTTCCGGCCGCTCGTCCTTCCCAGGTCTCAGCAGTTCCTTGTTTTGCTCCAACATCACGAACGATGAACACGGCATCGGGCCCCAGAGATGCTACGGCGGCCGCGCCCCGGCCCCCGTCACCCAGCCCTGACCCTGGCCCCCCCCGCCTCCCCCCACCGGCCTGACTCAGAACCCCTCCCCCAAGCCCGGGTCACCTCCTCCCTTGGCCGCCCCCCCACCCCCGACGCTCCTGCTGCAGGGCGGCCCCCTCCCGGCTGGGCCCTCGCATGCAGCTGCCGGGGAGCTCACGGATTCAGGGGTCAAGCTCTGCGGCACCATGTTCACCCAGGGGTGAAGCCCCCGCCACGTGCAGGCACCATGCTACACGCTGAGGATGGGGTGTAGGGGGAGAAACACGCGGAGCTGCCCCCGCAGGACACGCTGTAGGGGGGCGGGAGTGACAGAGGGAAGGGGACCCCGTCACCTGCTGCAGGCCCAGAGGGGTGCTGCTGGGAGCCGTGCAGGACAGTGTGTGAGCAGGGCTGGGTCAGCAGGAGGAAGGCCGGGGAGACCCCGGGCAGGGGTCCAGGGGAAGAACGGGGGTGGGGGGACCGCACGTGCAAATGTCCTGAGGCCGGAAGGAGGGAGCGTGGGAAGGAGGAGGTCTGTGAATCCACGGAGCCGACCACCAGGCCGGGGTTCCCGGAGACCCCGGGGTGTGTCCTCAGCAGGGCAGGGCCAGCCACTGGGAGGGCCTCGGGACCCCGAGCTGGTGGAGGCCCGATGGCCGGCGGGTGGGGCCAGAGCGTACCTGGTCCAGGTGGGGGTGCTGCCAACGCCCAGGTGAGTGGGGTTTGGACCAAGTGGAGGGGCAGGTGGGCAGGTGCGCGGAGCCCAGCAGCCTCTAGAGGATGGTCAGGGACAGGGGGTGCGAGCACGTCCACAGTGGGGTCTAGGCCGAGCCGCCTCTGGGCCTGGGGCCCCCAGGTCGGGGGCAGCTCGTGAGGTCCTGGGGTCCCAGACACGCAGGGACACGCAGGGACCCCCGGCCCCCAATCCGGGCTTCATCATCTGTGACATAGGGGTGATGGCCCTGCACCTCTGGTCCTCCAGGGGACGTCTGATGACGTGAGGACAAGGTTCTGGAAGCCCTGGGGCAGGCGAGGTCACGGCAGGAGCTGAACCCCAGTACCCCCGTCCTGACCCCGCGTGCAGCCCCGGGAGCCCAGCAGGGCCGCGGCAGGTGGTGTCCCCGTGGGCGCCGAGCCCGGGACCCCGCATCTCAGAGACGCCAGCGCGGCCAGGCTCCTCCAGGAGGGGCGGCAGGGGGCAGGGTCAGCTTCGGGGCCGGCGATGGGGACCACGTCTGGCCAGAACGCAAAGACCCCTCTGCTCTGAAGACCCCGTGGCAGCGTGGACCCAGGGAGGCACCCTGCTCGCGGAGGGACGTTCCTGCTGCGACAGGAGGAAACGGCGTCAGGCCCGGGGATTTTTTGTGGAAGGAATAGTCGTGTCCTTGTCACGGAATGCCAGGAGGGGGACGTATTTTCAGGTGCAACTGGCCAGACTACGGCTCGCGGCTCTTCGAAATGCGGGGTCCTCCGGGATCCGCGCTCGATGGCCTGGGTGGGGGCCGCGCTGTCACGCGACTCGCGGCAAGGACGCCGCTTTCCTGCACGTGCGTTGCCGGCGAGGCTCTGTACGTCTCTTGGTTCCAGGAGACCGTGAGCCTTCCGGGCGGGCAGCAAGGTCGGGGAGCCCCAGTGTCCCCCGGCGGCTCCCTCACGGCCTCTGCCGGGACATTACCATGCCCCTTGCAGGGTCCCGCGGGGTGCCTGACCTCGGGTCGACGGGGTCCCCGTCCTCCCAGGCCTCCCAGCTCCTCGGGCTTGGGAGTGCCGGTCAGGCGTCTGCAGGATGGTCCCCGGGACACCTGCCCTGGGCAGCCCCACGCACGCCGGCCGCCCCGGGAGAGGCTGACGAAGGCCCCGCACGTGTTAGAACCCGAGGAGCCATCACTAAGCACCCAGGGACCCTTGAGGCACCGCCACCCTCCTCCTCCCGCTCCCGTGGCCCTTCCGCTCACCTGCGGGTTCCCTGCCCTGCGTCCCCT